TGTGTGTGTGTGTGTGTGTGTGTGTGTGTGTGTGTGTGTGTGTGTGAGAGAGAGAGAGAGAGAGAGAGAGAGAGGTCTCATTTGTACTCCTGACTGGCCTAGAACTTGGTAAGTAGACTAGACCGGTGTCTAACTTGCAAGGATCCTCCTCTTGGCTCTCCCTTCTCAGTGCTGGGATTACAGATGTGTGTGTGTGTCACTATGCCTGCCCTATAGATGCTTTTCAGAAAGTAGCCAGTCACCTTCAAACACTCTAGGTTCTAAATACAGACTTGTTGGTTTCAACCGCATCCATAAAACCTTGATTTTTTTTTTTTTTATACTTTGTTTTTGAGACAGGGTCCCAGACTGGTTTTGAAATCTCAATCCTCCTGTCTCATCCTCCTAAGTGCTGGGCTAACAGGCATGTGCCGCCATGTCCAGTTGTTAAAACCCTGCTCCAGAAAGCTGGCCACCTTCCTGAACTGTACGCCCCTACCCTACACTCACCCCATTTTACTTACTCTAACCCCATTTTATGCTCAACTGCAGGTTCCTCTTATTTATAACCCCCTTGGGGCCCAGCCATGGGAACTGTTTGAAACCTAGCTACTGAATGAGTCTTCTGTCCTTTCTGGGGCTCAGTGTTCCACACCTGCAAATGGAAACTAATATGCCTCACTTGCCCAGCGATGCTACACAGAAGAGAGCCAGTGAGGGCACCCTGGAGCCATGGTTACTCAGTCTCCCACTCTCTCATCCAGACAGGGTGAATTCTTTGGATGCCAGGCTGCTGGCCAAGGCTTCTCAGATACACACAGTAGCCCTGCTTCACCCAAACTACCCCTCCCCATCAGAGACCCCAAGGACTGGGGCACTCTAACACATGCCCACACCTTCAGGTTTCCCTACCCACCACCAAGCTGCCACTTCTCAGGTGAAGGTGAGATACATTTCTCCCAAGAGCCTGGCAACATCCACTAAAACCCTGAGCCAACCCAGCTGACTGTCTTCCAGCCAGGGACATGGTGTGCCAGTCTCTTCTAAGAACAGCGTCACCAACGGGTCCCATTCTCCCTCACAGCCACTGCTTAGCCCTCCAGGCTCTATTGCTCCTGCCAGGCAAGGAAGAGTGGCCAGCCGTGGTTCCTGGGGCAGAAAGACAGACTCCCTTCCTGGACACTTCCGAAAGCCTTATTTCTCATCCACTGCGACGCTGAGTGGCAGCCAAGGAATGTGTTCTGGTCCTGTTTTACCACAGGGGAAAACCGGGTGAACCTATCAAGAAGAGCCTGCTGCTTCCCACCTCTGGATCCTGGAGGAGCCTGCAGGCGCTCAGGTCACTCACCTTAGCCACATCCAGCAGGTAGATCTGCAGGAAGAACCCCAGGGCACAGCCCGTCAGCTGGTATGGGGCCCCTCCAACTGCATAACAGAGCTTGTTGCAAATGGACAATTGCTGTGTCTTCTTCTTCGGTTCCTTCTGGGGAGAGAAGGGAAGACTTGAAAACAAACCCAGGATTCTGGCCTCCAACCTAGTCTCCAGCTAACCAAACCAGGAGGAACAGCTCCTCCACCCTGCCCAAGTTCTCACCTAGGGAAATCCCACTTCCCCTACCCCAGAGGAAGTTGCCCTTAAACTCAGACTTATCTCACCCCCCCACCTCCCCTAGAGTCTTGAGGAAACCTATCACCCTTCATCTTTAAAGATCGTCCCCCAGGCCAGGTGTAGGGAGGTAGAGCCAGGCAGGTCTCTGAGTTTGAGGCCAGCTTGGTCTACAGAGCGGGTTCCTAGACAGCCAGAACTACACAGAGAAACCCTGTCACAAACAAACAAACAAACAAACATAAAAATCTTCTCCCAGGTCCTCAGCCTTTGCTCCTTTCCAAGTTACCCAGAGAGAGCATGTTATAGCAGTGGACTGGTACCCGCCCCGCACTAGCTGCCACAACCTGAAAATCCTCTTGTTGCCAAAAGCTGCCGGGGCCCAGCCCAGACTCCCTCCCTGACGCCCCGCAAGAACCAGGATCCACCTGCCTACTGGTTGAGGGCACCAAGGCTGCGGGAGGCCCCAGCCCAGCCCGCTGCAGCCACAGCTGTTCCTTCCATCTGTCCCAAAGTTCCCGGGCCCCTGTAGGCAATCTTCAGCTCCAGGCAAACCCTTGAGCAGTCCTACCCTCCGGCTCCCTGACACAAACCCCATCCAGCTCCTAGGGGACCTTGGAGAGGGGGGAAAAGGACTCCAGGTGCAAGGCTCAGCCTTCTCCGGGTGGAGCACTAGGGGAGGCTGAGGTTGCCCGGGGAAAGTAGAGATTACTCATACATGGTAACAGCATAATTACTCACTCGCTCCTTCCAAGATCAGTTAATAAAATTAAAAGGAAAAGTTAAGCACCTCCCAAGCAGATCTATTGTCAGCGATCCCTTTCCTGGGGCCGCATGGTTTCGTGGGCTGGTTAAATAGATCGACAAAGCTAGGACCGGTCAGAGAAAGAGAGTGGAGACATACGGGACGCTGCGCATGTGAACCCTCACAGTCACACAAACGCTTTCGGTATGCGGCTCCTTTAAGAGCAGAGCCCTTGTTCTTATGAATGAACTTGAGTGGCCCTTCTCAGAGTTAAAGCGTGAGAGTGGAGGGGGCGAAAGAGGGGGGGTGTGAGAGGTGGAGAACCAAGGGGACTCTCAGATTTTGGGGGTGTCTCCAGATCTAAGGAGAGAACCTAGCGTGGCTCAGCACAGGAGAACGTAGAGCGCTGGGGAGAGCCCCACGCCATGCAGAGTTGCCGGCACCGCTCTTGGCGCAAACCCAGTGGAGGGTTGAGCAAAGAGGCTACAGACTTTCTCCATCACTCTCCGGTCCCGGAGCACCACTTGGACTTCCTTCTTTTTCCAAGCCTCACCGCACCCTGTTACCCCCGAGAGTGTCCCAAGACCAGGCCTACCCCAGAAGCCCCTGTGCCCACCTCTCGGGACCTCACCTTCACCTGGACCGGCCGTTCACTAGCTTGGAGGATGCCGGTGGGGAGCAGCCCCGCCGCGGAACCGCTCTCGGCGCCCTCTCCTTTGGCCATGACCCGCGGGCCACGCCGTCTCGAACCGGGACTCAGGGATGCTCCTGTGTTCTGCGGGCCCGCACTCGCCTGGGTCTCCCCGTCCTAGGCGCAGCCGCAGCTACCAGCACGTTCGCCAGCACTGAGCTAACCAGGATCGCCGGCAAGGAAAACTCCTCTCGCATGCCCCCTCCGCGCCTCTTAAAGGTTCGGTCCTGAGCTTCCAGCCAATCCCCTCACGCGCCTGCTCTACTCGTCTGGCGGAGCCTCGCTGGTCAGCCACGTTCTCAAAGCCGGCATCCGGCAACGCGTGCTCCCAACCACCTAAGCAAGGCTGAGAAACCCACCTGACTCGCCCAAGGAAACTGAAGCCCAAGGCTGAAAGTGACCTGCCCGAGGTCCCCCAGAGTGAGTTCTCCCTGAGTCGAGCCTGCTAGCCCATGACTTCTGAACCCCGATCTGCCTCCTTTTAAAGTCTGGAGTCAGGTGGCTTCTCCCCTCCCCCAAACCTGAGGTCATAGGCTGCAACTTTCACTACCAATGTCCCCTTCTCATGTCTCAAGATCGGCCATTCCTTTGCCTTTGATATTTAGGGAGCCTTTTTCTTTCTTTCTTTCTTTCTTTCTTTCTTTCTTTCTTTCTTTCTTTCTTTCTTTCTTTCTTTCTTCCTTCCTTCCTTCCTTCCTTCCTTTCTTTCTT